GTGCTCTAGTGGGTGGTGAGTCAAAACAGAGATATTGGTCAGTGTGAGTTGGCTTCCTGTACACTTCTATGTTGAGACGTCTGTCCTCTGTGATGTGGACCGCACAGTCCAGGAAAGCAAGGCTGTTGTTTTTCACATCTTCTCTGGTGAACTTGATGTTCCTGTCCACTGCATTGATGTGGTCTGTGAAGTTGTCGACCTCATGGACCTTGATTTTGACCCAAGTGTCATCCACATATTGGAACCAGTGGCTGGGTGATGTTCCCACGTAGAAGTATAGAGCTCAGCTCTCCACTTCCTCTATGTAAAGATTTGCCACTATGGGACACAGGAGAGCCCATAGCACAGCCATGCTTCTGTCTGTAGAAAGACCATGGTCTCATCTGTGTCCAGTTTTAGGCCCCTTATCTTGTTGGTGAAGTCCTATGAGTTGGCTATGTGGTGAGGTGTGTCCCCAACCAATGGTGAAAGGATGGAGGCCAGGTGTTTGGCGATGTTATAAGTGACTGAATTGATGCTGCTGCTGATTTGTTTGAGTGGAGCTCCTTCCTTGTGGATTTTGGGGAGACCATAAATACGGGGAATGGCTTCTCCTAGATATAGCCGGTGGTACAGGGGTCAATCGATGGCTTCATCCTTTTCCAGCTGTCGGAGGCAGCTGATGACCTTTTTGTAGCTGCTGGTGGGATCTTTCCTCAAGGATTCATAAGTGGCTGAGTCACTGAGAAGAGACTTAGCATGGTTAACTAAGCTACTCCCCAGGAACGTCATGGATGAGGTCTCCAAGTTTGCAGAGAAGGCCCAGACGTTCCAACACAACAAAGATAAGGAACGACAGTTAAAGTTAATATGAACATAAAGATAATCCAGGTGGATACTTAACATAAAAGAAACACTTAATAAGACATGGTTAACAGTTATTCTTGGTGACTTGGTGTTTTCAGATTACAAACTGAGTTTAGGCATATGTCATATAGATATATAGACTGATGTACAGCCAGGCCTGCAACATCAGAAACTTCATTTGTTTAAAATAAAAAAAATAATAATTAAAAGAGAAAACACATTGATATTAGTGAGCAAAATAGTCAGGAGCCTCTTGTTACACAGTGCCATGTGAGAGGGGGCAGGCAGGAGCCAAATGCAGCACTTAGAGACTATCTTCAAGACGCTTTGTGAGTGTTCATTAAAAAAGTCAGAAATCATTAAAACACACTGGAAAACTTGGGACAGGGAAAACAGAAAGAGGGAACAAGGAAAAGCTATAGACATAGATAGACCCACATCCACAATAAACCAAGCAGAACTGAGTCAGGGAGTGAGGTATATATACCTAGGGCACCAGGTGACACGAGTCAGACTAACGACAGAGACACAGGTGAGTGTGATCACACTGATTACACCACACAGCAGACACAGCAGGAGGGAAGGGAGACAGACCTCACACCTCTGTAGGTTTAGTTAACACTAATATATTTATTCACATTCATTTGGTCCATGCCTTGATCAGTTGAGCTGGTTGATGCTGCCAGTGAAGCTGCAATGGATAACCGAGCCAAACAAATGGTTTTCTTTCATTTGCCTGTGAGCATATGGTTTAAACCTATTGTCTATTTTGGTAGAAGGAGTTTTAGATGAAGTCCTGCATATGTGATGGACATCGACCATGTTGATAAACACATGAAAACACAAAGAGGGAATTGTTTTTTGTTCTGGTTGTTAGCTAGCAACAGAATTACTTTAAATTTAACCTACATTGTCTGCACGTGTGTTCGGTGAGTCATTTATTTGTTTTGATTCTTTGGTAGGACTCAATGTCTCATAATGGTAATTGGTCTTTTATCACTTGTTTTACAGGAGGCTGCGGCTGATCCCTGCACAAACAACCATTTGTTTTCGACTCTTGCACAAGTTACATGTTCAGATAACCTAATTCTGTATATATATATATATAGACACACATCAGTGGTCTGTTACATGGCTCCAATGAAGTAACTTGTTTAGCAGGCGAATCATTTGGACTGGGAAATTTATGAGGTAATTTAATGTTAAAGTATACATTATCTCTCCATATATACTGCTATAATTTAACAATACATATTTATTTGGAGAAATACTTCACTTAATACAGAGCTAATGTCGTACACTGGAGTACACACAGTCATTCTCCACATTGTCCATCCGTCGTCTGGTTCTGTTGTGGACACTTAAAGCAGCATAATGGAGGTTTTCTTCATCTCCATAGCCCTGCAAACAACACACACAATATCAGTTCACCGTGGTATGATGGTGGACCGAGGGTTAAAGAATAATGACATGGTGAGAGGTTTCATTTACCTCTTCATTTGTTGTGGAGGGAGCTGATATTTCTCTGGTTGAATCTGGTTATAAAAATTGATAATATATATTATTATTAAATCAAAGTTCCCTGAATAAAATCCACCCAGTATTAATTCTAAA